TAACTTGAATCGTAGGCAGGGGCCCATAAAACAAGAAAGAGGCAGAGTGTAAACGTGAAAGAAGACTTTGGATTGGAGCCTCACTGTCTGGGAGATCAGTCTCAGTTTCAAGTATTTGCTGAGCCCCCATTGTACCGTAAAATACCGAGAGAGTTGCTAGACGGGTGATAAATAGAAATAAAACTTGAACTCTAATTAGAAAAGTGAGATAGGACAAGTATGAAAAAGTACAAGCAAGGAAACATCAATAAATATATTAATAACAATAATATCCATATGTCAGTAGATGAAACCTGTAGGTGCCTGATTGACATATTCATAACATGCCACATAGCTTAATACACAATGCTGTCAGTAGAAGGGGCAGGGGATTTTGATCTTTGAATTTTGTTTTGTTTTCCTTAGATACCATCTTAATTCTATCAAGTTTAGGAAGAGAATTACCCAGGATCTAGGAAGGGAAATGTAAGTGAGGAGTTTGCCGAGAGATATTTTTAGCCCTGTGCCCTGTGGTTGCCTCCTCAAGGGCATTGGTATCAGTATCAACATTGGACAAGATTGAAAACTGAGCTGGGGAAAGGGGGAGAGGGCTTTTGTGAACCAGTAGGAGGTGCAGAGCAGGCTCTGTTCCAGCATGAACACCAGCCTCTCCATTCTGAGTCTGTGTGCGGTGAAACAAAGCAAGAAGTCTTCCCTCCATTCAATGCATGTCCTGTGTTGCCAGGGACACCACGATCATCAACCACTCTCGGAATGGCAGCTACGGGGAGAGCTCGCTGGAGGCCCACATCTGGCAGGAGGAGGAGGAGGTGGCGCAGGCCAACAGGAGGTGTCAGGACATGGAGTACACGTAAGGGACAGCCGTGTGCGGTCGCTTGCCCCCAGGCCCTGAGAGGGTCCCGCCAGCCCACATCTGCACTCACACTCCAGCCCTTCCAAGAGAGGACTGCATCTCTGTCCTGCTCTGAACGGCTGTGAGCTTGAAGTCTCCAAAACCTCTCCTCTCCACACTCTGCCACGGAGAAAAGGGACAGGCTCAAAGCTAAGCAAGTGGCTCCACTTGGCAGCAGGACTAGTGCCGGTGTCTCTGGGAGAAACTGCATGTCGGAAGCAGGTTTTAAGATTCAGGCTGAGTTTATGACAGAAGAATTTAGATGCCTGTGTTATTTCTACAACCTTCCAGACGTTATGAGAAAAGAGAAACAGATCATATTCCAAGGTTCAGAGTTTTTAAACCAGCATTTATATGTTCCAGCCAAAAATAAAGAACTTATTTAGCTAATGCACTCTTCTGATGGGCTACACAAGATTTCCAGCAGGCTTTTTGACATAATAAAAGTAGCCTGCCTTCCTTGACCACCTGAGGGCCTGTGGAGCGCTGGGCCTCTTGTTTTGCAGATGGACAGGCTCAGTGAGTTACTATCAGCATTGTGAAAAGAACTCAGGTATTCGCAGGTTCTCATTTTTGACCATAGGAGGTGGGGTGCGGGAGGAATTATTTTCTTCCAGAGAACCTGCTCATCTTTTTGTCTTTTTCTTAGACAGGAGAGAAATTGGCTTTAGTTGAAAGCTCACCCTGTTTCCATGCTTCCCTATCACCCTCCCAATAGGTGACCTTCTAAGTGTGGTCCCCGGGCCCACCTTGGTCCAGGAAGTCCTAGTAGATGGCCACGGTCGTCCTAACCACCTCCCAGGAGTCCAGAGTCTCCTGAGGTGCGAGAGAGGGTGCACCCCTTTGATCTATGACGAAGATCCATCTTAGGCAATTTGGAGATTATAAGTTGGAAGACTGGCACAGCACTTGATGCTCCTGACTTAACAGTCAAAGTCCTGGGTCAGCCTGGGAGAAATGTTTCAAGCTTTTCTAACCAAATGGATTTCTATTAAGTGTTTGGTTTGGTTTTACAGTATTAAAAATCTCCATGCCAAAATCATAGAGAAGGATGCCATGATCAAGGTCCTTCAGCAGCGATCCCGTAAAGATGCCGGGAAGACAGACACCTCGAGCCTGCGGCCTGCCCGCTCCGTGCCGTCCATCGCGGCGGCCACTGGGACACACTCCCGCCAGACCTCGCTCACCAGCAGCCAGCTGGCCGAAGAGAAGAAGGAGGAGAAGACCTGGAAGGGGAGCATAGGTGAGCCCCACGCCCAGACAGACTAGTGTCTGAAATGCAAGGCCACACACCCTTCCTTCCTGCCGCTGTGGGACACAGAAATACCACTGAGTATCTCCTCTCGGTTTCCTCATCTGTATAATGGAGAGGAAAGTCTATCCTACTTGGGTTGTGGGAATTCACTGAAGTATGTGGAAACACTGGGTAAATTCTAAAGGTTATACCACTGTAGTCGCTGTTAGCTGTGGGGTGACTCATCCTTAGTAGCATCTATTACTGTTGAAAGTTGAGGTGACCCTTATAACGCAGAATGGTCTGATGGAAAAACCTGGAGACGCCAGGCCTCAGAACGTGGCCCTGCCCCAGGCCAGTTATATGCGGGTTCCACCTCTGCTTCTGAGTCTGGGAAAGGAGGACAATGTCTGCCGGCTGCACCCTGTGGGCCGTGGGGGCCAAATGACACAGAGGGGAGCACGTTGGAAGAAGTGCTCTCTAGCAGAAGGGATGTTGGGGTGGGTTTTGCTGTCCAGTGTTACACAGGCAGAGTTCCGAGGAGCAGTCTGCAAGTGCAGTCTTAGCCAGGAGTGGGTGTCCTGGACGGGCGCGGGCGGGCTGAGCTGGGGAGGAAGCAGGCAGCGTCCCCAGCACCCTTCCCCTGCACTCGGCCCTGCTTTGATGCAGTTCCCCGGGTCAGCGAGTGTTTTTGTTTCTCTGTGGAACCGAGAGCCAGTTTTCCTCAGCACGGGACCCCAGAGGAGCCTGGCTGCTTTGTGCCAAAGGGGATAAGAGCTTCCATATGAACCCAGAAGAGCTGAGGGGATCAGAGGCTCCCAGCCGGAATCTCTGTTTGAAGTCCCTCCACTGGTGGCTGCAGCAGCCCCTGGCCTCAAAGGAAACGCACTTCAAAGAGGACGTGCGTGGACAGCAGCTGAGATCATCAAAGAGCAAACCGAGGACTTCAGCCCCCAGCCCAGTTAGAGAGCAGGGAGGCAGTGCTCAGACAGGCCTGGTTAAGGAGTTGAAAATTTGCCCGGCTCCGATGGAACCGTCCCTGGGAGAAGCCCGTGTGTGACATCCAGCCAGGCAGGCGTCTCTCTGGTGTCTGTGTCCGTATCCCCTATTCGGCATGTCTAAACTAGGCCTGGGAGCCTGAGGGCCGTGGTCTGGAGGCAGGCTGCTGAGGTCTCTGTGCTGGTATCATCCTCTGTACTGTACTTGGTGTCCACGTGGACACACACGGAGGGGCCAGGCAGCAGCACAGCTACCCCTGTGTGCTCACTGTCTCCTGCCTGGTGGGCTCTGGAAGGATGTGGAGGTAACAGTGTATGCCTTCGTGATTGCCCAGGGGCTCGCAGGAGAGAGGGCTGGCCAGCGATGTATTCAACCTGTCACGCCCCTCAAGCACATCCTGCCGGACTCCGGAGTGTCAGCAGGCAGGGTTATGAGGAGGAAAGAACCTAGGTTGGACTCCAAGCCAGGCACAGCTGGGTTTGAAACCTATTTCTGCTACTTCTTAGCTGTGAGACGTTAATGTCTCCGAGCTTCCGTTTCCTTCTCTGTAAGACAGAGGATAAGACCTACCTCCGAGGAAAGCTGTGAAATATAACATAAGATGATGTGCGAAGCACCTGAGCAAAGACCTTTGCTCCCCACACATAGCGTGGTCCCTGGACCGGCAGCATGGGCGTCACCTGGGAGCTTGCTAGAAAGGCAGAGTCCCAGGCTCAATGCACCGAATCATGTCTTCCTTTTAAAAATATAGTTGAGTAAGTGGGGTGCACGTTGCATTTTAAGGAGCATTGCTCTAGACACACCGAATTGCCCTGAGTTATGAATGGGCACCTTGAAATAGCCCTGGTGAGGATGCTTTGTGAATTGCTGGCTAGCTAACAAGATAAGCAAACAAATACTTGATTGTGCTTACCACCTTTCTATAGGCTAGCATTCTGGAGTGCTGGCAGATTCCTGATTATGTGCTGTACTTAAAAATAAAAATGTCACCATCCTGCCCGGCTTTGCAGGAAGGCTTAGAGGAAAATGGACAGCTTTGCACACCATGCTGCCCTTTTCTGTAGCCAGCACGCCCTCTTCTCCACCCTGGCCTGGCTACTCATGGGGAAGACGGGAAGGAGAGGGCTAAGCGGCTTTTCCCAGGAGCCCAGGTGGCTGCCTGTTTCTTGTGGGCTACAGATTTCCACTGTAGATATCTCTTTTAGGGGCTAATGTAAACAATCGAGTGGTTGCCCCTACCAGGAAGCATATTTGTCTTTGACTCTGGGCCCCACTCATTACCGAGAGCGGGGTGGGATTATGAACTATTCAGTAGAACAGCAGGCCAGTGGGCACATGTCCAGGACCAGGGAGGCCTTGTAGTTTTACTTAAGCACACAGCCACTGCTGCAGGCCTGCCCTCCTGGGCCACGTTTGGGTTAGCAAGCAGGGCCTCTAGAAAGCCTGGCAGGAACCTCCACACCCCTCCTCTGGCTATGAGTCACCTCTTCTCTTTTCCTTCATACCACCCTGTGAATTATTTTATCCTACAATTTATCGCATTATGTTATAACCAGTTTACTTGACAACTTCTCTACCCTCCAAAAAAAAAAAACCAAACTGATTTTTTAGGGAGAAGACTAGATCTTTCGGTTTTTTTTTTTTTATTCTCTCATTGTTTGTCATTTTTATCAGGCACGTAATTAGTTCTTATTGAATGCTTGGGGAATGATGCAATGAATGAATGAAGCAATCCTCAGTTGAGAAGGAAAAGGTCTCCAAGACTAGTTTTTTTAAAAAGAATGTCATTGAAAATGAATGTCCTCTGTCCTCAGGGCTGCTGCTGGGAAGGAGCACCACGAGCACCCCTCTGCACCTGCTGCACCCCGCACCTGCCTCAGCGCTGTCCCTGCAGCCTCCGCCACGGCGGCCAGCAGTGCCCACGCCAAGACGGGCAGCCAAGGACAGCAGCACGCAGACGGACAAAGCGGAGCTCTTCTGGCCCAGCGTGGCCTCCCTCCACCCGAGCCGGCTGAGCACGGCCCTTCCAACAGCCCTGTCCTGAAACAGCGGCCAAAGGGACCGCGGAGAAACTGGGTATGTGGTCCCCATCTCTTTACACTCCTGGAAACCCTGGATCTGCCCGGCCTGAGAGAGAGGGGTCCTTGGTTGAGCTGGAGAGGGAGCAGGAGCACTGGTCAGCTCTTAACTTTATGGGTTTATTTAATGATTATGGTTCCCAAAGTGCCTTGGGCTGTGTGTGCTCTTTCTTATTACGGAAATGAAACATGTATAACACCCTTCATTTATTATTGCCATTTAAAATGAGTATATCGTTTGAGTCTACCCTAGTAGTGCATGCTTTATAACTAACCCTTTTCCAGAAGGGGTGAAAAGGACCCTCTGAGGGATGTCAGGGAGTAGTGCCTTCCAGTGTGTCTGGGAGCAGTAGTATAGGCACCAGGGACATCACAGCCATCGGTTCATAGACGTGCCTTCAAGACATTGACTTGCCCAGGATTCGGGCCTCCTTGGAGGACGTCCTGATTGAAAGAGGAAGTGGACTTAACTGCTGAGTCCGTTAACCTACAGAACAGCACTTGGCGCCAGGACTCATGAGTAGTTAAAATATTTAAGAGAGCAAGCTTTGGAGACAGTGAGCTTTGCAATGAGTCCAGAAGTGTCGCGGAAGAACAGACTTGACCTTGGACTGATCATAGTCATGGAGCCCCTCACAGGAATTCTTTTTGAGGAGTGGGGCTGTTCAGGGCATAAGTTAACTGTTTCCTCCAACGGGGCTTTTCATTTTCACCTTTCAAAACAGACAAGTAAATACAGTGTTGTCATTTTTTAGAGATGTAATCATTAGGATGCACTTTTCCAAGTAAAGCAGAGAACATGCCTGGCTCGAAGTGTACACGTGCAGTTTTGAGTAGAGGGACGGTGGGTGTGAGGGGCTCCCACACAAAGGCCCAGCGTCATGGTCACCCACTTAATCCTCTTCCATCACCATCCTGATTTTTATCTGTGTCTGAATCCTGGGCCAGTCACTCTGTGTTTTCCCACTGTGGGCTGGATGCTCTCTTTGGCCTTGTAAGAATCCTGGGTGAGTGGTGGGTTTGAAATGGGTCCATTTTAGAGAGAGCTTGCCCGCTCCTAAAGAATGGGCCGCTCATGTTTCCTCTTTATTTGGCAGAGAACTCTCCTGGCCACGGGAAGTCACCTGACCACAGAGGCCGCGTCAGCAGCTTGCTGCACAAGCCCGAGTTCCCGGATGGAGAGATGATGGAAGTTCTCATCTAATGGCACCGTCCCTGCGGAACTTCACAACAGAACATTAACAAACAAGGAAAGTGGCAGAGAAGGAGAAGAAAGATCGAGAAGGTTGTGGATGAGAAATCAGGAATGATTTGAAATGATAAAGATTTCAGATTAGTTAAGAACACTTTTTATGAATGTTAAAAACAAAAACAGCAGACCTACATGACTGAAGATGGAAGAGAATGCTATGGATTTTTATTATATATGGTGGGAGAGAGAAGATTCATGTAGGTTTGGAAACAAAAGTTAAGAAGAAATAGGAAATGGAATTTTTCATTGTACAGAAAATGTATCTCTTGGGGAGGTTCTGTGTACCCCCATTCTCTGGTTATAAACAGATAAATCCGAACATGGATCTTCCTTGAAATACTCCCATTCTCCTTGCCTCTTAGCATGTTTGGTTTAGAAAGAACCTCTAGAAATCTTTAGAGCCCATCTTGGCATAATGCAGTATAACCTGTGCCATCTGTGGGGTGTCCTGGAAGTGTGTGTGGGTGTGGCAGTGGGGAGAAATGTCCAGGGGTGATGGGGAATTTGCAAGGTGGCCTTCGCCTGACCACCTGTTTGGCTTGGATTTTTAGGAGATTATGGGGCTTCTTAGGGTTTCTGGATTCTGCATTATTTCTAAACAGGATGGAAGCGTTATGATCTTAGTCCTTATCCTCCCTGACTTCTCTGAGTTCATCTCTGTCTCTACTTTATTCTCTTTAATTTTAAATTAACTTTTTTTGTTCCTTCTATTTATTTCTTTTTAATAAACATGGCAGCCTTCCTTAGGTGTGGGGTTTATGAGAGTGTTATCTGAACTGTCAGTGTTCCTACTGTGTTTATAGTGGCCAGTAGGACAAAGCCACACGCTGGCTTCCTGGCTACTTCTTCCATCTTTGTATAGTTGGGCTGCAGCTGTTAATCTCATTCTGACTGTGAGCCAGGTGAGCTTTGAGGAGGCGGAAGATTCCTTGGGTCACTGTGACTTCTTGCATTAAGATCATGGCACTGGCTTTTTTCTGTCTCACATCAGCTTTCTTCCAAGGAGCTTGATGTTTCCACCCCATGGCTCTGTTGGGGAAGATTTTCAGGACAGCACTCCAGGAAACAGATGACAGTTTACAAACAGTTGTCTTGGTGGCATCCAGCATCTCACCAGGCACCCTTGTACCACTGTCTTGTCAGGTGGCTCACAAGCATGCTGGCCACTCCTGCCCCATTACACTCCTCTGGTTACTGCTGATGAGCCTGCAGACTTCCATGGCATCAGTGTGTCTGTCGTGAACTTGCCTTGTAACCTAACAGGCTCGTATATATACATTGTGGTCAGGTTTTTCAAGATTTCAGTTCTGGTGCAACTTATACAACAAAGTGAGGCAGAAATGCCGTGGAAAAGAGCCAGGAATGAGTTAGGTAGCGGGCCTCTTGTACCTTTGCTGTGACATTTCACATACAACCCTTCAGATGTTGGTTTCCTTTACAAATCTAGGACTTGGTGGATTAGAAAAGAAAAGCTAATCAGGGCCCTGGTATTTTTCTCCCTCCGGGTCAGCTGGGTCTGTGTATCTATGTTTTCCCTTTCCTCCTGCTTTCTTAGGGGGAAAATAAAAGCCCCAGGTCTGAGACTTTTCCAAGTACTTCTCAAGTGAAACACTAAAGACAGCGCCCTTGGGAAACTTTGCTCAGGTAGCTTATTTTAAGACTGGTTTTGGAGTGGAACCTGAGCACAGTTACGGCCTCCCCAGACTGAGGGACTGAGGTGACAGAGGGAGGACAAGAGGTGTAGGCTGGAGAAGGTAGGAGGAAATGGCAGGCTTTGGCCAGACAGGCATCTGAGCCATCCCATGTGGCGGAGTCGGTGGGACCGGCCCTCTCCAGCTCTGTGCTTGGTGCAGCCTCCTCCAGTCTCACGCCGCGAGCATCAAAGTAGCGCTGCGCAGATGGGGAAACTGAGGCGGCTCCGAGGGGCTGAGCGATGAGCCTGCCCCATGCCCTGGAGTGTGGGAAGAGGGCACGGGAAGGCTTGTCAGTGTGGACGGTTGAGTGCAGCTGTGGGTGGGGAGGTGGCAGAGGGGTCCCATGCCAACCTCTGCTCCCCATCACTTGTCATGGGGATCAGGTTCAAGTGATGGCAGCCAACTCTCTCAAGGACATTTTGAACCCAATTTATGTTGGGGATGGACCAGAAAGGAAAGTGTCCAGAGACAGAAAGGTAAGTCAACTCCGCCAGCCGCCACTGCCGCATCTGGGCCTCCCCAAACTTGGGCTGTCTCCCCAGACATGGGTAAGAGCAAGAGCCCCAGCCAGCTTCTCCTGAAGTCTGGCCTTCATGCCCAGACACCTCTTGGGCACACTCAGGCACGTGCTCGCCTGCTCTTCTCGGCCCCCCGGAACTGCCAAGTGTTTCAGTTGTCAGACTACAAACGGACACGTCACCATTTTTCAGGGCCTCAACTGTGCTGTGCTGTGGCCTTTTGTGGATATTTTTTTCTCTTAACCTACCAAGACTCTTCCTTGAGAAAAGGATCTATAGCTTTAAAGTGTCTTCTCTTAAAGGGAGATTTGCTGCCAATCCAGGGCCCTCAACACTCATCGTCAGAGCTTTCCTGAGGCCCAGCTTATACGTAGGAAGAAGGGACTGCATATATGGAGTGCCCGCTCTGAGTTCTGGGCAGTGTATAATACCTCATCACATTTGATTTTCAGAAAAATAATGCCAGCTATATTTCCTAGTGCCAACTGTATGTGAGCACTGTGGTAAAAACCTCTTAATTAGTCCTCAAGCCACCTGGGGTGTGGAGGGCAAACTGGGGCTCAGGGAGGTTAAGTCCCTTCCTGAAGCCTCACAGCCAGGAGAAGCTGGGGATTAATACAAGGGTTTGCAAGGGGAGCTGGGCCAGCCCCTGGCTGTACAGCCTCTAACGCGAGGTGCCACATCCTGGCCCTCTCCGTCCCCCATCTGTGACGTGTGTGCACATGCACACACACACGTGCATTCACCCCTGCACGCACACAGCTGTCACGCCTCTTAGGGCCTAAGAAATAGGACTAACCCCAGAACTCCTAGAATTGCCTGTAAACACCGGGCATAGCTGGAAATCATGGTGTTCCATTGTAAGCACGGCTACAAAATACACCTAAAAAACAGCTCTGCATTCATTGTCCAGAGGCCTAGACTTCTTCAAACCTTCCAGTAAATTCTGATTATGGAAGTTGAGGGTCTTGGCTCAGGGTGAAGGGTCTTGGCTTGGGTTTCGTGTGAAGGCATGCCAGGGTATCCTTGAAGGTGCTAGCTGGCAGCTTCTGTGTGCTGCCTGCGTACTATGTGGAATTTGAGAAGTTGAAGTCTAGTCTGATGCTAGAGTTTCACGCAGTAGATGGTTCTGTACAGAAGAACTACTGCTGTCTGCAGGCCCATACAGCTAAGCTGCCAGGAAAAAAAACATTACTTTCCAAAATTGTCAGAGCATGTGCAGGAGACTTTCTTAGCATTCTCTTCTTTCAGTATTTTTTCTGTTTCCCAGATGCTGGCAGCCAGTGACAGTATGGAGTTGGGGGTGTTCTAACTGAGCATGCAGGCCAGGGCTTTGGTTGGGAGGGCAGGGAGTGATGGGTCCCTTCTGGCTTCAGTCCTGCGCTGGTTGCTCTTTGGAACTCATGTAGGAGCTTGACTTCACGAGGCTTGGAGTGGATACCGAGACAGTTGCATCAGTTGAGTTCTGAACTTGGAACAGAAAATTCAGTGGTTCCTTTGCTCAGGGAGGAGGCTCTGAGAATGTCCCTTGCATCTCTGCCATCTCTACTGTCTTCCCAGCCAGTCTTCACTCCTCCCTGTTCTCACCTGGTTTGCATCCTCATCATGCAGTGGCTGAGACTCCTTCATGCCAAGTGCTGATGGAGTGGGAAATCCTCCCTCCCCGGCAGCTTCTCAGTCCTAGAGACTTACGTGAGCACAGACATCAGGTGAGTCTGGGGGACAGTGGGGGACAGTGAAGAAGAGGTTGGGAGGTTGCAAGGTTTCGAGGCAGGGAGTTCACACTTAGAGTGAAGGGAACTGTGCTCAGTAAAGAGATGTGTTTTCCAAAGCCAAAGTCTTGCCCCACGTCCACACCGGAGCAAGTGGAGCATGTTTCTAGGTATTCTCTGAGTGATTCTGCTCTCCAAAGCAAAGAACTACCTTGGCCATAGTAAGTGGCGTCCCACAGATGTTCTTAAGCGGCAAAGGCTTTAAGTAGCCAGAGAGTGTCCAGCCCACGATTGACATCCCCACATCCCAAAAGGCTGAGGCTGCCATGGTACAGGCTTTATAAAGGTTGGTTTTTCTTTTCTTTTTGTTAATTAAGTAATGTATTTAAAATGTCTTCATTCGATGTGAGGATTGTTTAATGGGTTTGCTTCTGATGTGTGGCTCCATGGGAGATGGGCAGAGTAATTAAGAAGTTACCAGAAGCAGGTCAGCTGGGAACATGCACAGGTTAGCATTTCTGTAAGTGAATTTCTTCTGGAACAAATGAGCAATTTTTTTCTCTTTCTTGTAGGTAGTATACCCTTTTCCCATTTAGTAATTTAATGGCCTATAAAGACATGTGTACATGTAAGTGTATGCATATGAGGTATGACTAGAAGGTTATGTGTGGGATTTCTTTTCTTAATATACAGAAGATACAAGTGTTTCATCTCACCCCACCTTCCTTAAAAGGCATCCCTTTGGGACATTGTATACTGATTCACTGCAGTGCTGCCAAAGTAAAAATATTTTGTGAACTCCTCTATTAGAATGGCCTTCGGTGCCAGGCACATTGCTTTGATTCTCCTTAAAGATGAGAAATCTTCATCCTTTGAGGATGGATTTAAGTTCTGGAAATAATCTCAAGTTCTTTATAGCACATTTTGATGAATAAAGATGGCAATTAAGCTAAGTCACGCCATTTTTGTTTCTAAAAATAAATTCCTAAGAAGTTTGTTGGAATGAGTCTTTGGACTCAGAGCCTCTCCGAGCGACACTTCAAGGGAGGACAATACTCATGAGTACGTGTAACTCCCAGTGGATTCGTTTTTAAAAATCTGTTCTCTTGCCATGCCTCGTATGTGTTCACACCTCTGCATACACTACAGAAGGAAGTGCATATTCATTAGTATAAACATCCAGTAGGGATTCTGTAAAACCGTGTTATACTTAGGTGCATGTTATTGTCGTGTTATGCTGTGACTGAGGTGTTCCTTTGCCGTGAATCTTTGCTTCTTCACAGAATTGCAGTACTGTTCTCTATATAATGCAGTGCATACGCAGCATTTTCTTATATCAGCTCCTGAAGTTCTGATGCCCAGTGTTGTGTTTACATGTGATTCTGCCTAGGATTCTGTTCACACATAGACATCTGTATTTATTACTAAACAGAATGCAAGCAAATATATCCACAGTGGTTTTATTTGAATCGAGGCGTTTTTCCCTTTTGAGGAGGGACACGGAGCCACCTCCTCCATGAGGCACTTACAGGATCTGCGAAAAATTCTGTGAAACAAGGGCGGGCGTGGGCACCTGCTTGCAGCCAAAACTCCCACAGCCGCTCCTTCACCTGCCCGTGGTGCCACTCTCTCCGCCCACTCCGTGTGTGTGCGTCGCTGTGCTTGGTGGCAGCGTGCAGTGTGCTCTGTCCTTCCCAGGCGCCCCTGGGATCTGGGTGTAACATTTTGGTGTCTCCGTGTTGCCGGTCTGTACTGAGGGGTGGTGTACAGAGCTGTACAGCCAGATGGGTCTGTGTACAGAGTGGGGGGCAGTGCAAGAGCACACGTGTCCCCCACAGCAGATATTGATGCCGTTGGTCAGCCAAAGATTTCCTTATTCTTTGCTGCTTAAACTTGTGCCTTAATATTGTATATAATAAATGGATAAAATGGCAAAATGGCTCTTCCTTCCCTCTCGCTTGCTCTTTTCTTCCCCAGAGAAGTTATATATCGGGTACTCAGCGAGCATTCAGCCCCTTTTACTGCGTGGAGGCAGTTCTGCTTCCAGAGGCCGCGGGCTCCCCACTTGCGGGCCTCACGCCCACAGCAGCACGCGGCTCCGGACTCCCAGGAGGAAATGAGTCCTCCAGAGTGCCTCGGCTTGCGGCCCCCCCACTCCCAGTTTCCCCAGACAAGAAGGAAAGAGGAAACTCAGGGAGACTGTGGGCCCCGGGCAGACAGTGTCCACTTTGATCGCTTCTGAGTGTCCTCTTTGGGGGTTCCTCCATCCAGAGCCTGCCGATGACCACTGTAATCTGAGCTTTGTCTCAGGACTTCACCGAGCAGCCTGGACCCCGGAGTCTGGCCTGGAGTCAGACATTCGTCTGCGCCCCAGGATGGATGGACCTGGGATGTTGGTTGCTTTCTTAGTGTCTCCGGGTCACAGGAGGAAAAAGAGGGCTCTTGTAAAAAGGAGTCACGTGGTAATTGGTAAGATTCAGGGCAGGGGCCTGAGTGACTAAAGCAGAACAGAGTGAATCTCCTGAGAGTCCCCAAGTGAAGGCTCCTCCCATGGAGCCTGTGACCCTGAGATCACAGTGTTGAGAGCATGGTGCCCTCTGTTCACTCTCTGGTCATGGCTTTTCCGGCAGAAGCCCCTCCTCCCCCACCCCTGGCCCTAGCATGGGAAGAGCTTCCCAAACGTGAGCTCGGGGCGAGTGTGAAGGCTGCATCTCTGGGACCCCCGTAATCACTAGTGTGACTTACATGCATCACCTCCATCAGTCCTCACAACCCAGTCATCATCCCCACTTTACAGTCCAGGAAACCGAGGCTCAAACACCTCTGGGCAAGTAAGCTGTGAAAGATGGCAGGGTGGGGCCTCGAACCCAGGTCTATGTGACTCAGAGCCTGCACTTGCACGTGAAAGGTGGGTGGGCATGGGGGTGGCAGGAGAGCTCAAGCTTCCGTCTGCCTGGCTTCTTGTCTGTGCTGCCTTCTACCCAGAGGAGTCCTGTGCAGGGAGCCCCGTCTCTGCGTGTGTGAGCCTTTGCAGCTCCCCAGCCTCCTCCTCTCACCGTCACCCCGGGAAGCCAGCTGGAGGACCACATTTGCAGTTGGGGCTTGGGAGAGCACCCTGCCAAGATGCCCCTCCCCCTCCCCCACCTCCCCGCCCTGAGCCAGCACACGTCTCTCCTGCAGGGCGCCCCCAAGTCCTGGCCTCTCTCTTGGCCCCTCGTACACCCCAGGGGAGAAATCCTCGATCCAGCAGTTCTGTGCAGTCATTCCAAGTGGTTCACATCTTTGTGCCCTGAGGGAACACTGGCCTCCAGCCTGAGGTCCTGGGCTGGGGCCTCGAGAACCACGGGAGACAACAGTGCCATTCAAATTGTACAGCTCCTCGCCATGGGGAGGTAAGTGACAATGAGAAACAAATCGGGAGCTGCAATATTGCCTTAAAAAAAAGGCTGGGCCTGGTGCGGTGGCTCACGCCTGTAATCCTAGCGCTCTGGGAGGCTGAGGCGGGAGGATTGCTCCAGGTCAGGAGTTCGAAACCAGCCTGACCAAGAGCAAGACCTCGTCTCTACTATAAATAGAAAGAAATTAATTGGCCAACTAATATATATAGAAAAAAATATTAGCCGGGCATGGTGGCGCATGCCTGTAGTCCCAGCTACTGGGGAGGCTGAGGCAGAAGGATTGCTCGAGCCCAGGAGTTTGAGGTTGCTGTGAGCTAGGCTGACGCCACAGCACTCACTCTAGCCTGGGCAGCAAAGCAAGACTCTGCCTAAAAAAAAGGGGGGGGGGCTGTGTTGTCAAAATAAAAGGAATTTCTGTCATTAAAGAATGTTGTTATTGGTATTGTTTCTGTTGCCTTTTTATCAAGCCTGACAGTGTGTCTGGATGCTCTTCCTTTTATCTGCCCCTGTTCCTGCCTGCTGGGCCACACGTCCCGGAACCAAACCAGGGGAGCCGAGCTCTTTCCTCTCTTGATGAAATCTGTCACCCTCAAAATTCTTCTCTTTTGATTATATATGTTCCCAACATATAATCATAATATATATACTATA